AGCTCAAAGTGTCTCCATAAATCCCCTCGTATTCGTTCAATGCAGAATTTTAAGTGCTGTTCCAAGTGATATAAATGCAAGCGAAATTAGTACGGATTTTTTCACAAAGAATTTTATAAAACGCCCTCTAGCTTTGCGTAAAGTGCGTGAAGACATTTATGGTGTGGTGTGTTCCATTATTTGATCTCGGTTTCAATACAGATTTGTTTCTTCAGAGGAGCCTATTCAGGTAACAGGTAAGTGTTACTGCAAGGAAATACATTTTTCCACATTTCTATGATTAATGGGAAAGTGGAGCAAGTTCAAAAAATTGGTCGACATGTAAAAAGTAAAAACTATTGATACCCGCCAAAATGGGGTTGTTCCACCAAAATTAATTGAATAGCAAAAAATAAGGTATAACGTTAGAATCAATGATGGCAATGTTGCCAAAAACAGCCATTTACTGTAGTTATTGCAACTTCAAATACTAAGCCACTCATCGTTGACTTTTAATAATAAGCCGCTTTCAAATTTGGGTAAAACCGCTTTGCTTTCTTTTGTAAGTCATTTCTGTCTTCTTCAGATATACGGTCCAGATGATCTGATATGGGCAACATTGAACCCTTTGCTTATAGATTTTATAGCACTTTCCTTTGTAGCAAGATTTTATAGACTACAAGCTCCCCCAACTTCAAAAACTGCAGTTTTAAGAATTTTGCAAAAAATGATTACATTGTCAAGTTCTCCCAATTTTTCATAGCTATCCAAACTACATGCGCTAAATTTTTTCTTAGGCTCCCAATTGATCCAAATCGGAAAAACCGCGAAGCAGCTAAAATCAAAAAAGTAAAAAAAATATTAAACTTCACAAGAAGTACTTGAAAAATAAAAAAGATGATAAAATAAACAAACTCCAACAAAAAAAAGGAAAAAGTAAACGTTTCTATTTCTGCCTCGTTTCGGTTCTGCGGTAGATCGGTTTCGGATAGCTGATTGACTGAAAATATTTCACTTCATACGTAAATTAACCGTAGTTATCGGAATTTGCAAGTCAACAAAGAATATCGAACTGACATAAATTTCGCCATTTGAAAGCAGTATTCCCTGTCATAAAATACGCAAAATGAATACATTAAAAAATCAATTTTAAACCAGCGCCTGAACAACTTGTGACTTTTTGTTTCGATCTTTTAGTTTTTTGACTTTTTCACACACTGTTCTGCGTTCAACAGAAAAATCATTAGTTACTACCTTGGTTTTTTTTTCTCGCTATCAATTATAGCGAGAACAGTTTCTGTGCCGAAATTCTTAAAACACCCAACGAAAAAAAACTCCAATGCAAAAGCATGTTCAACAGCTTGAATCTGGACAAACTAGATGTTACTATCCTTAAGCCTTGTAGTATTTCAGTTTTCACTTCACATAGTCGAATTTGTCCGCTTTGCTCGCTCGAAATTAGACTAAAATTATTAATATTTGAGACAACAGTTATTCTGGAAACTTTGCAGAATAAATTTTTGATTTTGTTAAAAATTTTCATTGCCAAAGCAGCATAAAGTAAGCTTCAAAAACAATTTTTCTTTCGCTAAAACGATATTTCAAGTACCACAAATGTCCAATCAAAAACTGTAATGAAGCCACTAAATCTAAAAACCACGCGCACGATACCAAAAAGACATAGCATCGAAAGTAATCGGACAAGAATAAAATAACTTAGTAAAACTTAGTGTCACTTAGTAACAAAAATTAGGTTACTAAGGCGATAAATGATAAACCGAAAAAATTCAAACCGAATTAAGCTTTTAAACGAAAAACAAGAGCAAAAAAAGAAAAATTATATAAATTACAAGTCAGAAATGGTGAACTTACAAATTATATAAATGAATCAAAAACGACTTCAATTACAAAGAAAACTGCTTACTGCTTACAGCACAAAAAATAAGCGTTGTGGCAACTAAGCCAATAAAACATGAGCAGAAAAACGATAGACCAATAATTTCAGTGAAATTAAGTATTTGTAGATTAAAAACACAAAAGCTAAGCTACGCAAATACAAGCGAGGAAATGCAAAAAGAGCTCTGAACACGCAAAACATAGTGAAATAAGGAAAGCGAAAAAAATCTAAAAAATACCTACAGAAAAATTTGAATGTCAATTATGAGACTAGGGGTATCATGGTCTCACATCGTCTCCACGACCGCTTGTAATTTTACTAAGACTAGCCACCAATAAAACAGCAAAATTTTGAGCACAAAAAAAACTATCTCAATGTTCCGGATTTAAATGTCCGACCAGATGATAATGAGTGTCACTCACGTTCATGCATCTGCGCTGCGGCCACTTGAAAGTGAACTAGTGGCCCAGCTAATTCTGGATGTACCTGTTTTAAATATTTTAGTTAAATTTTATGCTGATACTGAAATGCATGATTTTCAAAATTGTAGAAAAAAGAACTTTCGGCAAAAACTTAGTAATTTTTCTGCTTAAGTAGGAGGTTATTTGACGTAGAAAACTAGTAGTCGCTTTATCAATTGAATTCTTTATCTCAGATTTGGCTGGGTTATTTTTCGAACAAAGAGAAAAAACATTCCAAAAAAAAACATCAAAAATCAAAAATTTGAATATTTCTAAATCCATAAATTTCTCTCTACTGAGGTGGGAATAGTCTCTTATACAGGGAAAACTTCCACACTCTGATTTTTAGATTATACCCTTATTATCAGACTTAGCAAGTGATTTTCGAGAATAGTGATGGAATTTAAAAAAAAACGGTAAAAATTTCAATAAATGGATTTTTCCGAAATCCATAACGGCTTTTTTTTACAAAAAAAATAAAGGGAAACAGATTACGCAGGAAAAATTGAAATAACATATTACTTTAAATGAACAATCAACCTCGAGAACTATCAACTAGAACTAGAAAAAACTAAGTTTTCAAAAACACTGAAAAAATTTCAAAAATATTTTTTTTTCCAAAATTTTTTTTTGCTTTCAGTTAACTCCGGTTAGGCAGGGTAATTTTTGAAAAAACTCAAAATATCAAAAACTGAGGCTGTTTGAGGCCTTAGATTTATTTCTACCGAATTTAGGGAACAACAGCTTGAGAAGGGGAGATCCACATAATTTTTTTTTTTTGATTGAAATCTTTTATTTCAGATTTCGGCATTTAATATTTGAAAAAATAAATAAATTCAACACAAATAGGTCGATAATTTCCCTTCTGAAATCCCCTAACGGTACAATAGTTTTTGAGAACAATTGAAATATCAGCAAAAAGTGCAACAATTTTCCAAAGCGTCGCAAAAAAAAATACAACAAAAAAACATCAAATCCCGTACATATCATGAGACCTGTTTAATCAAACAGGATTTAACACTAGCCAAAAATAAAGTAACAACATATGAGTTTAAAATGCTTCTGCTTAAATTGAAATATACCAAAAGCGACACCAAAAAAGCACTTTTGTTTGCGATTAAAGTTAGATAAAAATTCTTCGTTATAGTACACATCGCTCCGTTAAAAGTCCTAACAGGATTCGAACGTAAGCCCTTGGCCGTCCCAGGTTAAGTAGTTACCTCCAGGCCAAAGTTGCCGGAAAATCACAAACATAGATTTATTTTCAAGTTATCAAATGATTCAAGTGATTTCACAACTGCCAAGAGATCAAAGAAAAAGAGCCTTTTTGTTGAGTTCACGAAGAGCCTCCTCCAGCTTTGTCACCAAATCCTCAAATTAGCCGTTTTTTTACCTTGAAATTAGCGTTATTTCTTGTGCGCGGTGTGATTATAGAACGATACAAACGCGTAGAAAGTTAGTGAAACTTCCAACACTGGTTTGCTTTTTCAGTAAATTCAAAATTTTTTCAGCCCAAATGGTCAAAATTTATATATAACGAACGTTACTCGATTGTTTTACTCGTTCGGAAGTTTTCAAATGTCGTTCGAACGTTTTCAAATGTCGTTCGAATCACGACTGAAATCGCTTTTTTGTTGAATACATCATTCGACCCATTCTGATGATTATTTGCGATACTTGATTTAGCGTGGAAAGAAAAAAAAATTTAATAACACCCAATTACAAAGCGCCTCCCCATTTTCAATGGACGGAACATAAAGTTTCGCACCGTTATGATATTTTTTCATTTTTAAGTTGCTTTAGTTAGATTATAGTGGTCGAAATAATCTGTGCTACTTGCACAGAAACTGGCTACTTTTGTTCAGGAGTGCGGCCAGTATTTAGACAGCCGCGTATTCATACTGGTCAGTATTTAGACAAATACTGTTTCAACCAATCAGAATCGAGAAAAAACATAAATAATCCAAAATAAATAATAATTATTTATTAATTTCTTCTTTGTCTCGATTCTGATTGGTTGAAACAGTATTTGTCTAAATACTGACCAGTATGAATACGCGGCTGTCTAAATACTGACATGTAACCTTTTGTTCATGTTTGGTTTGCTGCCCAATTTTCAAAAGCAAAAGAAAAAGCGATAGCGGCAAAATGATTAATTGGGGGCATCTTTTATCAACTGAGTCTGGTGAAGAGAATAGGACATAAAAGAGAGATCATTGCCACGCCTACCAATATGAAGAATAGAAAGGTGTTAATTGTCACACCTTTGGGGTAATATTATTGATTGTTATTCAGTTGCCACGCCCTTACAATTAGAGTTAAAGGCGAAGGATGATCTCTTGGGATTGGGTGAGAAAGAAAGGGTGAAGAAAAGTGAGATCGACTTAAACACGGCTAATTAGACTGAAAGAAGAAATCAGCCGGTCTATTTCAGCTCCTCCCTTCATCAGCGCCTCAATCAATTTCAATTTCGGGGCAGGGGGATTGGTGCCAATCAGGGCTAAATGTAGACCAACAAGCGAAATTTGATCGCAAAAAGTGAGTTGGGTGATTGGACACGTAATTAGACCCAGCCAAAAAACAAATAAGAAACATTATGTTCCGAAGATTATATTTTGGTACCACTTGTATGTTTAATTCGATTAAAAAACTTGTAGAATTAAATTAATTTCAACCTTTTTTTGTTCTGAAAACACATCAAAGCTAGTGTAATTTAGTGGCCTTGACGATAGACAGAAAAGCAATCTGATAAAACTTCAAAAAAAGATCAATTTCATGTGAAAAAGTTCTAGTTGCACCATCAATCATTCGTAACTAATTTCATCAGAAGCTATTGGCTGTAAAAGAGACTCATCCGCTGAATAATTTGAGCTAAGGCCCCCTTTTTTCAACCAAACAGTCAGTGCTTTGAAGCACACCGTAATCAGTGCTTGTTACTTCAAAGACAGACAAAATTTCACAGCCCAGAGAAATAACAAATAACCAATAAATTATGCGTACGGTGCAAAGAGCTGAACTGCTCGCATGAAGGTGCTTCCCTTTATGAATAAATGGTCCTATTTTATCTTAACTTTAGGCGCAGACGACCATACATGTAAGAGAATCACGTCACAGAATTCCTAGAAATCGAACCGCTGCTTGCTCAGCACTCCACACTAATTTAAAGCAAAACTTTGTCAATGTTTATTTTCGTGATTTGAAAGTCTTTTAGGAGCAGTGACAATTATTAAACAGAATCCGAATCCCTGGAATTCGGTTTGGGCTTGTCAATCAATTTTGGCTTTATTTTCTTTCAGTCCTACCTTTCAAGAACAGTTCAGTTCCAAATATATCTTTCAGGCTTAAGAAGGCAGGAATAAGTGCCTTTCAAAAAAGCAGCTCAAGTCAAACAATGAAAAAGGGAGGGTCTATTAAGATTAAAATCGGATCCGAAAAAAGCACTCAATTATTTTTCTAAAACGACATCTAATTGATTTTTTTTTGCTGAATTGAAGTTGTGCAATTTAAACACCAGAAAAAGGCACTTTTACTAGTAGAGATAAATATGTTGTAGCAATTTTGGTGATAAATTTCAAATAAAAAACATATGTTGGATTATAGATCAATAATCTGTCCTAAGCAATTATTAGGAAATAAATTTTAACTTGTAGAGAGGCCTGAAGTTGAATCAAATCATCGTAATTTAGGATCATTATCTTGTCTTAAGCAGTGACTAAGATTTTCCTGAAGTTGAGAATTCATCTTGAGTATAAAGATAAATTTAGAATTACCAAACCATCAGCCTAAACTATAGTTTTTCTGGAGAGCTCGGAAAATCAATTTGATCAACTTTAAAAAAAGATCAAGGAATTTTTCCGAAATTTTAGAAAATTCTGGCCCTTCGAAAAAATCTTTGATCCACTTTTGCTCGAAAATATGATCCGCCCCTGCAGAATGTCCTGGGGAAAATATACAATATTATAGTATTGCGATTGGTTAATCAGTTTTTCGCAACAACTAGTCCATTTTTGTCTCTTTCGAACACACTTAATACCTTCATTGGGGGTAGATCAAATGATGGAATAATTAATCAGGAGGGATATAGGATGAGATTATCACCGATATCAATGACCTCTCTTCCTCCTAATGAAATTAACACTGTCCCCGCTGAGATTGAAATTGATACGAAGAAAACGAGCGGCGAGATCCTTGCGAGTTACTCAGAGGGAGGTTTAATTACTAAACCCAATTAAAAAGAGATCATTACAGCGCAGATTGCAATAACACCAATCAGGTAAGCCAACAATCGGTATCTAATTTACAACTTCCCTCCTGTGATAACTAGTATCGAATTTCACCCTTGAAGAAAAAATCAGCAGTTAGACATATTCAATTCTGAACCTATTAATCAGAGCCATAAAATTTAATTGGTTTTAATTTGTTTTTTGTTTCTCTATTTGTGATTTTACCGCATCTGCAATGAGACACTAAAAATGCTATATCAATTGGAAAGAAAAATTGTCCGCCTTTGCGAAATAGGCGAATAACTTTTTTAACAGAATTTTAGAAAACGAGTAATAGGTTTTGCAGAACACATTCTTTCGACCATTAAAAAAGGGTAGGGCGACAATTCGTGGCAGGCGACAATTCGTAACAGTCGACAATTCGTAACAATTGACAATTCGTAACAAGGCATTGGCAAGTAGAATACGCTTGCTCCGCTTAGCTTACATCCGGCACGAGACGAATACCGTGCGTGTATCAGTATTCCCCACTTAATCTACTGCTACGAATTGGCGCTTGTTACGAATTGTCACCTGTTATGAATTTTCGCCTCACGTTGAAAATGGGGAGCAACTTTGTATTCTGGTGTGTTATAATTTTTTATTGTTTTACCAAAATCAGGTACCACAAATAATGATCGGAATGGGCCGAGTGATATACCGAATTAAATCCCTTTTACTTTTAGCCGTTATTCGAACGCCTCTCAAAAAACTTCAAAAAATTGTCCCAGTGAAGAACTGGTTTAAAATTTTGATTTTTAGTTCAATTTCGAGCAAGTGAAGTAATCGATTTACAACAGTTATATGAAAATTTCCTTTTTTTGGACTTTAAGGCTAACAAAACTTAATTTAAAAGAAAACCAGTTTTGGATGTTTGATTTAGTGCTTCCTTGGAAATAAAGATTTTACAAAAAAACTTTCGAAATTTTTGTGCAATTTTTTTATTTTTGTTTGTCATTCTTTTTTTAAAGATAAATCTTGTCGATTATCCCTAAATTACATAAATTTGTACGCAGTTGTATAGTTCTCAAATCACGCCACGCACTAAAACCGACACTAATTTGAAGAAAAAAAACTTTTTTATTGATGAATATGGTCGGAACATTCTGTGCTACTTGCTTGCACTGCAACCGACTACCCTTGTTTTGTTTAACTCTTAGTTTATTTGAGCATCGGCTAATTAATTATGAAGCGAATGAGGTCAAATGTCGATCGCATTATCACATACATGTGATCAGACCAATTTCAGAGTACATTTGTATAATTTTCATCCACGTTTGTGTTTTTATCATTGGCCAAATTCCCCCTTTGAGATAGGCGCCATCTTAGAGTAGGCTGATAATATTTACTTCACTCTCAAGCCTTGAGCTGAAGACTAGCGGCACATAACATAACATCACGTAACATCTTTCGCAACCACCATGATCGCCTGGTGGCACTATAGTATTCATGCAGATGGAGCAGAAAATAGCAAATACACTAAATTGAGTTGAAAAAAGGAATGGGAGAATTTAACAGGGAAAACAGAATGCAAATTTTCCCATTCTGCTTCATTTTGACTGATTACCATGGAAAATGCAGACAATAAAAAATAGAAAGAGTTAAAATTAAGCAATAAAAAGAGGCCAAAAAAGGTCGCTGTTTTGAATAGCGACAGAATTTACGATTTTCCGGATTCCGAAAAGACAGTGTCTACAGTCGTGAATCTATTTGCATAAATTTGGTTGGGGCGAGTTTCGCCCAAAGCTAGGAATCAACTCTGCGTCACAAATTGTACCGTTTCCCTCAACTAAATTTGTCTTATTTTCCTCTGACAGCTATTACCTGATGATTGTTTATCTTGCTAATTTTGAAACATTACTTTATCTCCAAAATGTATCTCTATTTACGGCCAAAACTGAAAAACAAATAGAGAAATGCTAGAGCTTGAATTCTCAAATAAAAATTCTGATTTGATTTTCAGTCAACTTAACTCAGTTCTCTTTAGCTGCTTTTATTTTGTTATTAGCAGTTCGTTTCACGCCTCTCAGGTAAGCATATAACCGTGTAATTAGATATATTTTTTTCGCATATTTTGTTCTTAGTATTATAACGCTCAAACAGGCTTTGAAATTCAGGAGCCGCTCTCTAGTTCAAATTCAAATATTCACTTTTTTTTCTCGCCATTTTTACTACATCAGTTGAATTTTTTTTTATAAGCAGGGGGTTACAGCGATAGCAAAACCAACTGCCAGATAGGCTAAAAAAATCCCGTTTAAATTCACCGGATGGTATCACGATTTATATTCATTCCTTGCTAGCGAAGCATTTCTGACATTTGATACCACTGGCTGTGGCATTTAGTACAATTTATGCACCTATAGCCTTGAGATAAGAGACGGTAAGAAAATGACGCACCTAGATTTTTTTCGATTAAGTGATTACATGAATCTCAGGCCATGGCTATTAAATTGGGCTCACTTTTTCTCTGAGCTGCACAAAATCTGAGCATAACGTAACCCATCTGCGCAGAGAAATAGAAAGATAGGATTATCAATTCCGAATACATGCAGTGTATGAACAGCATTTCAGAAACATCACAATTGATTCCCTTGTTGTAGTTTCCAATTTTTCTAATGAGCTTTTTCAAACAAAAAGTTTTAAATGTTTTTTTTTTAAATATTCAAAAAAAAATTGGTGGCTAACGAGCTTTTCCATACATGAAATATCAAATTTTAAGGAAAACATTCAAAAAAATTGGTCGCAAATTCAAAACAAACTTTAATCAGAAAGTAGTAATCAATCAGCAAATACCAATCAACGCTGTTCCTCTAACGTCCTACAAAAATCAATAATTCAACCTCTCCGAGTCGTGAGAATTGACAAAGGCAAGAAAAGCATCTTAAAAAGCATCTTTTTTGATTGAAAGCACCCCAATTTCTATTCAATCAACTGTCAACTCTTTCAGCTATTTCAAATCAAAACTGTCTTCATTTGTGACAACAAAATCAACAAAATAAATAAATCATACTCCGTCTTTTCTCCAATTCAGCCCAATAATTGATCCTTAACTGGAAACAGAAAATCAAACTGTTTTCATTTGCTAGAAAACAGCATAGGATCCAAAAAAGTTCAAAATTATGGTTGAAAATTCAGACCCAAGCCTGCCCCTAATTAGATAAGAACTAAATTAACTTACCCAATTCAGTGTATCTGGTTACCACGTTAGCGACCGTGACCTTTTAGATGTTAGGCTGATGTTTTTCAACTAGGCATCATCTTACCACCAGCACCTCCTGAAATCCAATTATTTCTCGCCTCCTCCAGATGCGTCAAAAGCGACACTAATCCCTCTCTTTTTTCAACAAGGGGGTACTAAAATTTGCGCCCATTACATATCAACCCCGCACTCTTTATGCAACGACAGAATTTGCCTCCAAATTAGGAATATTTTATGTAACAGGCATTTTGTTGCATAAATTTTTTAGTAGCCACAATGTTATCTGCGTTCAACAACGCGTTTGTTTCCAGCGATACGACGAATAAGCCCGCAGATTCGACAGCGAGTCCAGACACATCTCCATACCGAGGAGTTTTTGATAATGAGACATCAGCAACAATAACGAATTAATCTTACAAAGAACGAAACTCAACGACTACGAATACCTCGACTACGATATCGATTCAGAGTGCTACTTTGCATACACAAAATCATTCCGGTTCATTTATTTTTTTAAAAAATTTATTTGAACCTCCAGTTCTGACATAACTCATAAACTCATTCAAGAAGATACAACTCACTAAACGACCTCCAAAACAGCAATCTACCATCTGATAATCTCATTAACAGCTCGAAAGCATTCAAAACACAGGTTATTACGCAACACCATTATCTGCAGATTGTTACATAACAACACCCTCTGACATATATTCCAAAGGCGTTATCCCCCACAGGTCGCGATGAGCAGCTCGTGTTCGAGTCCCCCTCGGACTAGTTCCAGTAGCAAACACCACTCCTCCAAGAGTGTGTTCGACGGAGAGAGGAGGGTGCTGATAGCTGTGGATGGCAGTGCCAATGCAGAGTACGCGTTCGACTTCTACTGCACTTTCGTGAGCAGGAGCAGAGACACTGTCATTCTGTTCCACTTCATGGACCCCGTTTCCACCAGTTCAGGTAACGCTAACATTCATCCAATCATATCCTCCCAGAAAAACGACGAAAAAAATTAATAAAACTAAAACCTATTTTTCATCTGTTTTTGGGAAGCATAATTTATAGGGCTGTTATGAGAATTTTCGTCATTTTTTGCGAGGAGAAAAAAAACTAAGCTTTAAGCTAAATATGCAACTCAAAAGCACTAATTTCTAACTAAAGTAAGTTCATAACTTCTCCAAAGGAAAAAAGCGCAAAAAGAGGAAAAATACAGCAGAATTCTGCAACATGAATTATGTAATTCGTACAAAAAACTGCTAGATTTCCTGAAATTTCCGATGACCTTTACCACCAAATTTTGCCGAAAAATGAAAGTCGTACACAAAACAATATTTTCTCTATCTTAGACCCCGACCTGGCTTTTGATGAGTTGAGGCGCTACAAAGGACACTACATGGAGGGGCTGGAGAGGATGTTTGCATCTAGGGCACGCAAGCATGGACTGGACCCAGAGACAATGAGCTTCGGATTCAGTTGCGACCCACCCGAACCAGGAAAAGGTAACCAGGAACACGAAGGAAACAGAAAAAAAATTGCGACAAAGTTAATAAAAATCAGGAAAATCCGATCAAAAAATGAGCCGTTTTCAACTTTAACAATGCTCATTGACCCTAAATTAATATTGGTAGTAATAACAGGTTTAGGTTTGGCTCAAGATTATGAAAATATTTGTAGCAACGAAAACTCCCGTTACCTTATCTTTTCCTTTTATCTTCATTTGGTAAAACGGAAAAGAAATAGCATTTTTGTTTCAGCCGTGGTAGCTTATGTGCGTCAGAACCCAGTGGACTTAATTGTGATTGGCTGTCGAGGTCTGAGCAAGCTGAAAAAGGCGTTCATTGGCTCAGTGAGTGATTACGTAATCAGACACTCGGGCATTCCCGTTTTAACAGTTCCCCTCAACCAACAACAACAGCAACCGACACATCAGCAGCGAAACAATTCAATGACTTAAAGCATATTTCAATGTCAATTTCCTCATGTCAACCCGTCGCATTTGTTATTTAATTTGAACCCCTAATGTCTAAATGTTAATCGTTCATATTATCTTTAAAATTAGCACGATCATTCGAAAGAAATATCCCTCTTTCGGTTTTGCTTTTAATTGGAAAAACTCGGAGCTCATTTTTTCGAATAAAGACAAAAATCGGTGTTTTTCTTATTAAAACATAGGCCACACACAGTTGGAACAGAGACAATGAACGCAAGTAAACAGAAAAAATGGCTTTAAAGCTCTTTGAATTTCAAGAACTTATAATTGACATTTTTTGATAAAATCAACCCACCTTGAGAAAAATGGATCAATAGGCAAAAATTTTTTTTTCGCAGGGAAATCAGATAATTGATACCCTTTTTTGAAATCAGAAGTCGATAACGTTTTTCGTGACCTTTTTTTTGCTGTTCGATAGCGAAGTTTGCCTTCCTTTTAACAAAAGAAATGAACTGAACTTAAAAAAAATCAAACGTCAAACAGTGAAAGCAAATTTGAGTCTAAACAAATTTTAAGATTTCCTGAAAAAAAACACGACCTATAAAAGATAAGAATTTGAACTACTTTCATCGACTCTTAAAAAGAAAACTGGACTAAAATTACAGGCTGAATTTTTCCAGGGATATATTAAAAAAGGCGTTAATAAGTAGCTATTAAGGGACCAAGTTTTTTACACAAATTTATGAGGGAGAGTTAAAAAACTCCAAAAATGATCCAGGCACAGAGTGACTCTTGTTGCCGGAGTGAAAAGAAAAAATTATATTTGGTAGATCGCATATCAGGCGCGGATCAAAAGAACTTCTCGAAGTGGATTTCAAAAAACTTCCGAGCTCTCCCAAAACACTTTACGACTTAATTCTGATAAAATTTTCTTCGCCGCAGGCAAAATAGTGTAAAAAAAGGCAAATTACGACGTATTAAGGCACTTCCGGCAGATTTCCTCATAATTAGTATAAAATGGCACCTTCAGAATGATTTTAAGGTCAGCAGTCAAAAATGGATGTAAAATAAAACCAAAAGAGGGGAACTTTTGGGTTCACATGGGGTCGAATAACGGCTTTTTGATGATGTCTCGTTGTATTTGGCATTTCTCATAAAGCCAATCACAAATCACGCAAATGTTTACTTCGAGAAAAATGCAAGACAAAAATTAGGCTAGAAAATTGTGCTTCAAGCTTACTATCAACTTCCTTCCTCGATGAAAAAAACAACAACAAAAGATATCGAAAATATCGAAATACTTAATTTTGGTATATTTAAAATAACTTTTTTACTTAAACAGTTCAAAAATAAGAGTGGTCGGAACGATCCAAGCATTTTGCTCGCCAACCAGTTATTTGGAACAACACCAAGATATTGAATTTTGTCACAGCTTGGTTTTATCAGAATGTTTGTAGATGATTAGGTTCTGTGTAACTATGCGCCCCTGCGGTTTCAAATTGCCAGTTCAAAAAAGAACTAAGTCACCGGTTAAACATATGTGATTTTTGAACCTCAAAACAAATCTCCCCTTTTGTAAAAGGTGAAGCATTTAAAGAGATCTGATAATTAATATTGTACCACATGACTCCCAATCGGCTAATCATTAGCATCTGACCTATAATCTGAAACTGGTCACTAAAAACAATCCAAACAAGAGAATCAGCGTTAAGTAATTAAGCTATGAGGTGAAACACATACACATCCTTAAATATACTGATCGGGTTGAAACCGAAAAAAAAAGTTAAAAAAAAAATTTGGTGAAATTCTGTCCTATCATCCAAAATCTCATATAAAGAATAATGGTTGCTTTCTTGAAGTTTTTTCTGGAAAATTCCGATGACAAAAATTCAAGAAAAAACACAGGAAGTAAAGAAAACGTAGCCAAGTGGCAGGTGGAAAAGAGCTGATGCACGCAAGTCAACAGAAAAAAACAGACTCATTTTTTGAAAAATCTCAACTTTTGATTTTCAAAGAAAAAAATAGATGCCCTTAAAGCTCCTCTTTGACTTTCTAGAACAATTTAAGATTGGCACATTTTTGATAAAATTAACCCTAATTGAGAAAAATGATTCAAAAAGTAAAATTGTATTTCACTGAAGTCAATCATGTTTTTCGTGACCTTTACACTTTAACTGTTCGATAAGGAGTGTGTCTTCCTTTTAACAAAGGAAATGAACTGAACTTAAAAGAATCAAAAGCCAAATCACGAAAAATAATTGTGAGGCTGAACAAGTTTTCATGAAACAAAAAAAATAATCACGACCTATATAAGATTTTGAACCAGGTGAGGACTTAGGGGGGTGGAGGTACGCCCCCTCATTCAGGGATTCAACCCCTACCGATCTATATGGTCTTATAGATCGAGTAGAATGAAACATCGAGTAAAATTTTTTTTTAATTTTGCAAAAAAAAACTTAAAAACTAGTTTTTTTTTTCTGAAATCATTGCTTTATTTATTAAAGGAGGACTGAAATAGGTGAAGAAAATGTAGTTTAACTGAATTAGGAAGACACCCAATTTCATCTAAGCTCATCAATGTCCGTCTAAACGAAATCAATAATATTCAGACCAGTTTTTCTCGACACTGCTTGATATTTTTCATGAATATATTGTAATGGTACAAAAGTAAAGCGTATTGAGTGACTTGCGGATGCGATTAAACATGATGAAACTATTGTGGATGCGTTGTAACAAGACCGCATAACGCTACAGATACAAAGAAGAGGACTCAATAATGGCAAAAGTCCAAACATTTGGGAGCGCACACGACCTGTCTTGAAGCAACGAAAGGTCCCACGCTTCGAATACGACAGTGAGATTCAGTGCAACGCAAAACTAACTTTAAACTGCCATTAATTCACATTCTCTAAGTTCAAAAAACAATCGTGCACTTAGCTGCAACCAAGGTTGTACTTCCATGACTTTGTTAAGAAAAAGTCATGAAAAATCTTATGTATGGTGTGATATAGTTCATCTACACTCGCGATCTACACAATGTCTCGCGAACTTTGCCCATGGCAACCAAAAAGAACAAAAAAGCAAAAATTCGAGCCAAATTATGTAAAAATTGAAATTTAGTTGTACGCGAACGCCCTACTGAATGTAATTCGTTTGTAGAGAAAATAAAAAAATCATTAAAAAGATGAAAATATCGAAAACTGGACTTTTCCTAAGTCCATAACGGTGTTTCTACTAAAATATGGGAGTAAAGACTTCCTGTTTTCCCCAGAAAACCAGTTTTTGCAACAAACCCTTATTTGGGAAGGTAGTTTTCAAGAAAGAAAGTTTAAAAAAAACGATCAAATTCTTCAATTTTTTTTTCAAATCTTACATTTTTGTAATAAAATTATGGAGAAGTCCCTGACGCAAGAAAGGTTTCAATCACCTGTTTATCCGATTGAACCCTTAATCCAAGTTTTGACAGGGTAGTTTTTGAGCGTGGTCAAAAAGTTTCACAAAAACAGCCAATATGACAAAAAAATTGCCTTCTAAGGCTGTTACTTTTTTCGTCAAAAATAGCACGTAGCCAATTCTTTCGATAGAACCCTCAATCCCAGATTTGGGAGGGTAGTTTTTGAGTACTTGAGCAGGATTCATAAAAACGGTCAAAAAAATGGTCTTTTTTAACGCTGCTTTTTTTCGGAAAAATAAGGGCGTTGCCGTTTAGGCAGAAAAAAAATCTAAAATAACCTATTTCGATCAAACCCATTATCCAAGATATGGAAGGTTTGTTTTTGAGAAAGGTCAAAACCTTTTACAAAAACGGTCAAAATGGCCTTTTTCGAGGCCATAAATTTTTGCTATTAAAATTAGGGCGGATTCGCACATGCAGGGGAAATACTCATAACATGTTCTTTCGATTGAACCCTTATTCTCAGATTTGGCAGAGTAGTTTTCGAGAAAATGAAAATAGAATGGGTCAAAAACCCCACTCTCTGAAATTTTCATAGGCCGTAAAAAAGACCAGCTGATTATGCAGGCATTTGGGTGAATAGCCGATTTTTCCTTTGGTACCACTTTTTGAACATCGATAACGTATTAAAAAAAACTTTGCGAAAAAAGAAATAGCTTTTTTTGAAGCGTGTCAAAAAAATGTAAAAAATAAACAAATCCCATACATAACAATATTTCATGTTTTTATCCAACAGGAGTTGACAATATAAAACTTTTGTTTCAAGTAAGGCAAAAAAGTCTCGGCGCATTTGAGCCTATAATCAAAACAGATCAGGAATTTGTGTTGGCCGATCCAGTAACTTGTTAAGGGCAGAGCACTCTAAGTAAAAGACGTAAAAGGCGTAAAATTTCAAAAAAAAATTAAAAACAGGCTGTTTTTCATTCGACGAGACTTTTTGCAAAAACAAGGAAATCTGTATAAATAGAGCACCAAGCTGACTTCAACAATTTATTTGCCTCGATAATTATACTCATGTTATATGCACGTTTCACAAACTCAACAGAACGGAAATTACTCTTGCTGCTAAGTGGTTTGGTTCCTAATTGAATCAAATAGCCTTGAACTGAGCGTGATTGTAAGTCCACGGCTTGATCGAATCTTTATTCCTATTTAAAAAAAAGAAATTACCAATGGGCATAAAGGCCACAAACAGGCAAAAATGACTTCCTTTACGACCTTTAAACGATGATTTCTATTAGTGATGGTTCAACCGAACATTGTGTTAGAATATGTCTTTTACTTATTCCGCACAAAAATCAATATCTGTGAACTATTTTTGCTTCACCCTGATTGGCTAGAATAAGCCGAAAAAATTTCAGCACCACCAAATGTTTTGTTCACTATGTTGAGTCGACTTGTAAATGAGCAGAATCGGCCAAAAGTATAGAACGTTTAGTAAACTATTCGAAATTATTTCAAATATGCTATAGATTTTTACCCAGACCAAAAAAACAAGAGAGGAAAAAAACTACCAATTTCACAAAACTGGGCCTTGTTTGAAAAAAAAGCAATCGCATTTGTATTAACCGAACCAATCAGTGTTTTGTTCTCTGTATTTATTCTCAAAAAAAAACCGCCAAATTTTAAAAATCTTTGGGCTGACTAAGTATAAAAAGATCCTTTAGAATTACCATGGAGATTAATGTTAACTAATACTTAAGCAGTTTTGATGGAACAAAACAAAATAACAAGACTGCTCGTATACCA